AGAGAAGGTCTAACCTAAGGTGGCTAAGCTGGCTGGCCAGTGAGCCCCAAGAATGTTCGTCCCCCGATCCGCAGCGCTGGGATCACAAAGTACACCTCATCACGTTTGTCCTTCTTAATGTTGGTGCTGGCGCTTTGAACTCAGGGCCTCACACGTGCATGCCAGCTAAGTCATCTCTGCGGTCCCAGGGGCAGATAAGGGTCACCTTGAGGCCAGCGAGGGCCTCTCCGGGTGTGACAGCCTGACAGGGCCTCTCCAGGCTGAGCTGATGTGGGGACAGCAGTCAACGGCCATGCAGGAGCCATGCAAATGGCTGGTCCAGGGCGAGCTGTGACAGCCGAGTGATGGGCTTTATTAGTCCACGAGCCGAGTGGGTTTAAAATAGCATCGTGGTGGCAACAAAAGCAATTTGCTCCCGAATTTTTATTCTGAAGGGATGATGTGCTTTTAATCAAGCAGGGCGTCCCAGAATGCCTCTAATTACCCGAGTCAAGGGCTCGGCAGTCATCCTGGTGTTGACGCGGGGTGCATGATAAGACTTTCTCCCAAACAGGTTCCCCCCGGAGCTGGGCCAGGGACCAGGGTGTCTGCGACTCAGTGGTCTTCTAGGGTAGCCTGAGTTCGGACTGGTGGTGAGGGTGCCAGGTGTTGGTTCCAGGCCTTGGGACAGGGAGACCCCAGCTGGAACTCAATAGATGACTCTGGGGGGTGTCTCTGTCTGCTTTAGAACCCCAGTTTTGCCTTCTGTAAAATGTGGCTAGTGCTAGTGTCAGTGTGTGGGGACAAGGAGTGCAGTACTCAGAGACTTAGCATCATGGCTGCCATGCTGGTGTTTGAGAGTCATCCTGGCACTCAGGAGGCTGAGGCGGGTGGATTACTCATCCCGAGCCAGCTTGAGCTACAGAGCAAGATCCCTCTTCAGTTAGCACCAGCTCGGTTTTACTGCTGTAACAAACTGGCCCGTGTCTCCAGGGCTAACAGCACGGGCTTCCTCCTCACCCACATTAGCATGTTCACCATGGTGCTTTGGTCTAGCCCACACCACCTGACTCCAGGAATATGACATGCAAGTGACACAGGTCATTTCCTGTTGACCACATCCAGTCCTGCAGCCCCCTGTAATCCAACTGATCTCGAAAGCCAGGAAAGTGCGTCTTAGGGTGTGTGGATGTAACAGTCAGCTCCTGCTGGGTAACAAACACCTGCTCCGTCTCTTTGGCATGCAATCGTGAGTCTGCACTTGTTCTCCTGGCCTCAGGCCAGCTGGGGTTCACTGGAACGTGGGTGCTGTTGCATGAGTCTGTCATGGTCCTTGGGCATGTCATGGTTCCGATGTATCTGTCTTAAAATCGCCTCGAAGGAGCTATGCACGTTGATACCCAGGTTGCAACTGGGAAATGCCCTGGCATAGTGATTTCAGGAATGGCTGGATCCAGTTGCTCACTTCTCCTGGGTCTGCTGTGTTCCAGGCTCCCTGCAGAGGCCCTGGGGAGAGATGGCTGTCGATTTTGAGCCCCACACGGGGAGCTTGAATTTTCTTTCTTTTCTTTTTTGATTTTCTGAGACAAGGTTTCTCTATATAACAGTCCTGGCTGTCCTGGTACTCGCTCTGTAGACCAGGCTGGCCTCGAACTCACAGAGATCCGCCTTCCTCTGTCTCTTGAGTGCTGGGATTAAAGGCGTGCGCCACCACCGCTCGGCGGGAGCTTGAATTTTCATCTTTCCTTTTTCAAATATCACATCGCCCAGACAGCATGACACAAAAACTACAGCGACTTCGGGCGCCTGATTGACGTGTAAAATGGGCAAATTATAGCCTTCTTTTCCCATGTCGCTGCTCACACTCCTGTCACGCTGTAGCTGGTCCTCAGGAGCAGACTGGCTCCTCCAGCGTTTCCTCACAGGTTCCCCCTCCACCCTCGGCTCACGTAACTGGCTCCACGTCCCTGGGGCCAGTGAGAGTTTTGTCTGGAGAGTCCTGATCCTTCCTCAGCTCTGACCACAAATGCATTTGCTTTCAGTCTGGGAGGCTGAGGGCAGAGTGCTAAGGGCAAAGCCAGAGCACAGTTTGCTTAATTGATTTGCTCTTAATTGGCGCCTTTCCCAGAGGGTTGGGGGCAGGGGCAGAGCGCTTCTTCCAGCTTTGTTCTGAGATCATCTGACCCCAATCCTCTAGCAGCCTCCCCGGGGCTGGGGGCGTGGTCAGGGTGAAGCCCCGCCTAGAATCCCCAGTGAGGGGCTGGGGGCGTGGTCAGGGAGAAGCCACGCCTAGAATCCCCAGTGAGGGGCTGGGGGCGTGGCTCTGCCCGAATTTCATCTCATTCCCAGCACCCATAGGTGGGGGAGCCGCTAGGTTGCTTGGTGTCCTCCACGTAGGTTTGGGCTGCAAAGTGCAGCTTGGACATAATGTGATGGAGGAACCACGTGTGACCCTCTGTTGAAATTTGACCTCCTAGCCGGGCAGTGGTGGCGCAGGCTTTTAATCCCAGCACTGGGAGGCAGAGCCAGGCGGATCTCTGTGAGTTTGAGGCCAGCCTGGGGTACAGAGCGAGATCCAGGACAGGAACCAAAACTACACAGAAATGCCCTGTCTTGAAAAACAAAAAACAAAACAAAACAAAACCAATTTGACCTCCTAACCAGTACTACTTCGGCAAAGCTGCTTATGTGGTGGGTGCCTCAGTTCCCCAAGTGTGTTTCTCAAGGAAGATAATCACATCTCACTGCGAGTAGATGGAAAGCACTGAGGCACAAACACGCGGGAAGTGGGGCCAGGCTGGCCTTGAACGCCTGATCCCCCTGCCTCAGCCTCTCCAGAGCTGGGCTGAGTGGTGCCATGCCTGGTTTCCTTGGCTTGTGGTCCCTCCAGCCACATCCCAGTTTATTACTTCTCTGTTAAGTACCGGGAGGTCAGTGGGCCTTGGCTGTGCAGATGGAACTTGTCACCCCACACCGGTCTTGCGCTTGGGGGCAGCATCTTGGGGACTCCTCCCTGCGGAGTTCTCCTGCCTCTGCGCTTGTCCGTGGCCTGAGAACGTGTGTGCTCCACACGGGAGACTCCTTGCTTGGTCTTCCTTGTGGGATGCGTGACTGTGGGTGGGGGGAACCACCCACAGAGTATAGAGTCAATGTCTTGCCCCTCTCTTGCCCCCTCCAGTCTCCCTCCGCCCCTCAGTTTCCCTCCCTCGGTCCGTCTTTCCTCCTAGACACCCGTCAGGGCCGAGGTCCATTGGAAGACACATCTTTCTCCTGTAGGCCCCAAAGTGGCGCCGTGGCCCTCAGTGCCCCCTCCCCGTGAGTGTGAGCAGGAGCGAATTTGCTTCTGACCAATGGAACCGGCAGAGGCGATTTCACGTCTGTGATTGTCACCCTGTGTCACTGGTTGCCTCCCCGATCTCTTCCTCTGATTGACAGCCCTCCCCACTCCGAGCTCCAGCTGCTTTTTCCCTGTTTTTTTTTTTTTTCCCCTCTGAAGATTCCTGCATTTAAAAGTGTTCTGTTGTGAAATAATTTTAAACTTACAGGAAATAGCGCTTGGTTGCCGCCCCCCTCCCGGATCGCAGCAGGACGGCCAGATGGCCAAGCAGCTGTGTCCCGGCTTCACCACGAGTCACCTGGTTTGTTTTGTTTTTTTAAAGACAGGGTCTCCATCTGCAGCCCAGACTGGTCTGGAACTCACAGCAATCCTTCTGCCTCAGCTCTCCCAGTGCTGGCATGCACGTGGTTCTGTGCCCTTTTCTTGGTGGTGCCGGGCTGGACCCCAGGACCTTTGCACACACGGAGCTCACATTTCCTGAGAGTCTCTGGGGGCTCTAAGAACAGCTTGTCCTCACCCGGAGAGACTCAGTCCCTTTTTGATACTGCCTCAGTTTCCCATTACCTCCGTGTTCTTCCTGTCGGAGAGACCCACCCTGTTGCCTCCCAGTAACTGTTAAGGTGACTAGTCCCCTGGGCGGCTGTGACCGCGAACAGCTGGAGTCCAATAAGAAGTGTGTGAGAGATGGAAGCCGCCTGGTCAGGAGCCCGGGGGCTCAGACAGAGTGACTCAGTGTCCCCAGGAGCAATTTGTCAGGCGCTGGGCTCTGCCTAGCACCAGTGTGCACACACATGTCCTGACCCGCCACTGTGTGATTCCCGCACAAGGGCAGGGACCTGGGTTCGAATCCCCAGAACTCACACCCAGCCCTGAGGTCCCTGGGCCTCGCAGGGCGGCCCAGCCAGGATCAAGGCCCTGACTGGGGATGAGTGGTGTCTGGGGAGGGCCAGGGGCTCCAAGGTCAACCTCTTGTAAGCCGAGTGTGAGGCAACGGGATTGCTGTGACTTCCTGGGTTACAGAGTCCAGGCAGCAATACGATGATTGACAGGTGTCACGGTGCGGGCCTTGGGGCTGCTGTGCAGTTTGTCAGTCACCTGCGGGAGGTGGGGCCCAGGCCTTGCCGGCCGGGATTATTGGCAAGTGGTAGAACCTTAACGGGGCGGGGCCTGAAGGGAGGGCTCTAGGTGTGTGTGGGGGGTGCCCTTGAGAAGGGGCTTGTGGGACCCCAGATTCCTCTTCCCCTCTGTCTCACTCTCTGCAACAGGGAAGGCCTGACTATCCACGCTGGCTTTGAACTCCAGGCAATGCCCCTGCCTCAGCTTCCTGAGTGCTGGGGGTGACAGGTGTGCCCCCCCACACCCCGTCCTTTCTCTCTCTCGGATCCGTCCACCTCTGGGACGGACCCCGTGACGCCATGAACCAGAGACAATCCAGCCTGGTGCCCACGCCTTTAATCCCGGCAACTCGGGAGGCAGAGGCAGGGGGATCGCTGTGAGTTCTGGGCCCGCCTGGGCTACGTAGTGAGACCCCGTCTCCCGCCCCACAGGCCCCCGGCCGCCCCGCGACGCTGGGCCGGGAGAGATCCCCACCTCCTTCGCACCCGGGCAGAGGCTGCGTGCGCACCGCCCCTGCCTCCGTCACAGCCGACCGTGGCGGCAGCACTGACCGCACCACACGGGACCCGAGCCACACCACCCTGGTGTCACGCAGGCCAGAGCTCTGATTGGCCAGCGCTGGTCACACGCTCTCCCCCCTCAAGGCAGGACGGCCCCTCCCTGCACCCCACTCGGCTAGACTCAGAGGACAAGGCCAACGTCATCACAGGAGGGAGAGAGCAAGGGCAGAGGGCAGGCCCTTCCCCAGGGTGCCGCAGTAGTGGGGAGCCAGGCCTCGGGTTAGAGGGAGGCAGAGGGCGGCACCTGGAGCTTCAGTTTTCTTGAAGATCTCCCCGCTAGAGTAAGAGTCCTGGCTGCAGCACATCCATTCTCCACAGCCGCAAAGTGACGCTGGCCGTGGAGACCATGGCCCACTGGTGCCAGAGCCGGAGAGCGGGTCCGGATCCGTCTCCAAGGTGCCCAGAGTGGGGCTCCTTCTTAGTATCTGTGTGAGTGGGAGGGTGTGTCCCCTCACCAAAATACAAGCTCCTATCTTCCTGGGTTGTTCTGTTTGTCCTTGAGGTGGAGACGCTGAGCAGGGTGCAGTCAATCTGAGCCCCGAGTCCCTGTGGATGAGCCAAGGACTTACATGGGGCCTGGTGGGGGGTCGGCAGGATTCCCCCTCCCTAGGGCGGCTGAGCGGCTGTGCTGCGGACGGAACAGCAGGGAACCCCGAGAATTCCTTGTGGGCTCCTTCCGGTGCCTCAAGGCCCTGAACTCTGCCCTTGTGCCCGGATGCCAGTTTCTCCTTCCAGGAACTGATGTCACACGGGCACATCTGCGGGGCTCCTTTGGTAATGACCTCAGTCGGGGTGAAGTAATGAATGCGCCATCAGCCGGGAGTCCGCACTGCGCAGTGTTCTTGGGCGTGCGCGACACCGACGTCACAGAGGCCGGAAGCTTCTAGAACCCAGAGGTGTCATCCTCAGAGCTGGTCTCCGGGACACCAGGTGGGCCGCGCTGTCCCCGGGAGCCACTTCCGCTTGAGGCCCTGAGTCTGGCCACAGCAGGCGCCGCTCCCACCGCGCCACCGGCTCCCCGGGTGGCTCCGGAGATGCCCGAGGGGCTCCCGTGCCGTCCCACGCGGGACTCGGCGGCGCGCGACAGCTGGAGGTAGGGGCGGCCATGGCGCGGTCGGCGTGGGCCCGAGTAGCCCCGGTGGCCCTGGTGGCCCTCTGGCTGGTCCTGTCCCCGTCGTCCGCGGACGCGCAGGTTAACCTGAGCTCCGTGGACTTCTCGGAGCTCCCGGCGCTCCTCGGGGTCCCCTTGGACCCCCAGGGCGCACGCAGCTACCTGCTGGTGGCCAGGCCGGCCGACGCCTGCCTCGCCATCGAGAGCCCCGGGCCCGACAACAACTCACAGGACCCACTCGTGCTGGTCCGGCCCCTGGGCTGCAAGTGGGAACGCACGGGGCGGCGCGCGCTGAGGGCTGGAACCACAGCAGCCTCCGCGCGCACTGAGGACCCAGGGCAGCAGCTGCGCGTGTACGACGACCTGGAGGTGACCGTGCGCTGCGACCGGCCGGCGCGCGTCCTGCTGCCCCACGGGGGACCCTGTCCGGACCCCGAGTGTCACCCCGCCGTGGCAGCGTCCTGGGCGCTCGCTCGAGCCCTGGCCCTGGCCGCGTCCACGCTGTTCGTGCTGAGGCAGCTGTGGCCGTGGATCCGGGGCTGGGGGAGCCGGGGCACCACGGTGAAGACGCAGACGTGCCAGAAGGCGCAGGTGCGTACGTTCACGCGCCTCAGCGACCTGTGCGCCATCTGCCTGGACGACTACGAGGAGGGGGAGCGGCTCAAGATCCTGCCGTGCGCGCATGCGTACCACTGCCGCTGCATCGACCCCTGGTTCTCGCGCGCCGCGCGGCGCTCGTGCCCCCTGTGCAAGCAGTCGGTGGCCAGCACGCACGACGGCTCCACGGACAGCAGCGTGGGCGGCGACGATCCACCCCTGCCCGAACACTGCCCACCCATCTGGGCCATCCAGGCCCGGCTGCGCTCCCGCAGGCTCGAGCTGCTAGCCCGGACAGTCCCCTGCCGTCGCTGCAGCAGCACCACGTCCCTGGGCATGGCCGAGAACGTGGAGCCGTCAGAAGAGACCTACGAGCCCTCCTGACCCCAGCTGCTGCGGGGAGGGGCGGACACTAGGAAAGGGGTGCGGGTGGGTAGTGCCCAATAAAGTGTGTTTGAATCTGGAGGGCTCCCGCTGTCCCGGACTGCGCCGCGGGGTCCAGGCGCCCGGGACGCGCCCCAGAGCAGCCAC